CTACAGAATTGTATTCTAGAGTAAAATACTTTTTTATAGTTGAAAGTCTTTGTATGGATCATTGTTATACTTCTCTGCAACGAAAATATGTATATAAATTTTTTTTCCTGTGGCCCTGAGTCTGTATGCATTAATCCATAAGAAAATTATCTTTATAATTAGTTCACAGTTGCCCCAAACAACATAAATATATTAAAATGTTGATACAAAATTGTTTCATATAAAGTAAATTTTATTGGAAATGCTCCTTTTAGATTTATATAATTAGATCATGTAGCCATCAGTGAATATTGTTTATTGCTGTAACAAGACAGAGTTTAGTACCAGCTCTGTTCCTGTGTTTTGTTTTCATGGTGAGGAACCTTGTTCACATAAATAAGTAAATGGGAATGGAAAGAGTTTTGCTAAAATAGGAATTCTTTGAATTCCTTCTGAATTATATGCCAAGACCAGGGTGATCTATCATCCAAAATGACTTTTTTATGTGTCAGTTGACAACTTGTTGAGTCCTCTAGCTTGTGGGAAGGAAGAATTGGAAACATCTGACTTAACAAAAAGATTTGTAACTTAGTCCTCCATGCCTTGTGTTGAGCTTTGGGATGAGTTTGAAGTATATTGAGAAGAGTGGTTGTAAGAGGGGACTTCAGCCTTGATCATTAGTGATCACAAGCTCTCCCTCAGGCACATCAGTTTTAGGAAAGAGTTTATGAGGAAGTTGAGGTCCTGAAAGTGATTCTCTTAAAACCCTCCATGCCTGCTCACCCTTTTGAAAGACTAAGGAGTAGGAGTAACCCAACTCAACACTTTTTGCTCTAGCACACCTAAGGTTATTTTCTCTAAAAGTTTCCATTTGAGGCCTTTTTTAGTAACTGCCTTCATAGGAATGGTTCATATCTTTAGTGGTTATTGGCATAGAAAATATACTGAGACTTACTTTAAATATGGAAAGAGGGGAAGATACTGTACCCTGTATTATATAGATCTTTATCATTTTAAAACACATTTATATGCATTATCTCATTTGATCTATACAGCCCTGTGTAATAAGGTAGATGGAGATTTGAAGCAGAAATGAGGAATGAGTCCGAAGGGTTTTTGTGCATTTTCTAACTCACAGAGCCTTTGAGCGGTGAACGGGTGCTGGAATCTAGATTTTCTGATTTTTACTCAGTCCTCTTTCCCCAACAAGACACTTTAACTCAGTAGTTCCTAACATTGTTTTTTCTATCACTCTGGACCATAAACCCTGTCTTAATAGTCTTTCCTCCCACAGACTCATGAAATCTTTTTTTTCTCCCATTTTTTCAAAAAAAATTGAAGTATAGTTGAATTACAATATTGTGTTAGTTTCTGGTATAAAGCAAAGTGATTTATATATGTATCCTTTTTCATATATATGTATACATATGTGTTTATATGTATATATAGATAATATATGTATACATATACATATATATTCTTTTTCACATTCTTTTCCATTATGAATTATCACAGGATATTGAATATAGTTCCCTGTGCTATACAGTAGGACATTGTTGTTTATCTGTATTATATATATTAGTTTGTATCTGCTTACCCCAAACTCCTAATTTATCCCTCCCTGCCCCGACTCATGAAATTTTAATGATGTTATCAGTAGCTATTTAGACCTTGATAATTATAACCAGAAGCAAAAAATAAATATTGGCAAATTCTTAGCTTGTACAGTTTTATCAAAGAGAGGGAAGAGGGGAACCCCTGGTGGTCCAGTGGTTAGGACTCGGCACTTTCACTGCTGTGGTCTGGGTTCAGTCCCTGGTTGGGGAAGTAAGATTCCACAAGCTGCACAGAGTGGCAAAAAAAAAAAAAGTGAGGGAACAATTTGCATTAGGAATTTTGTAATAAAAAATAATGGTAACAGCATTGTATTCTTATTTAGGGACCCAGACACAACACTAGGCCCATCTATCAGTGTCTTCTTTGGAATATTCATGGTTTGAAGACCTCCATTATTCCTTTCAGGACCCCTATAGGAGCCAGTTGAGAAAACCTTCATTAGAAGCTGGGGTTGCCTCTTTAAGATACCTTGACTTTGTGTGGAGGAAACTCTGTATTTCTGTAGCAACTTTTGGAGCATTTGTGGGGCTGGGAACTTAGAGCTTTCTCTTCGAATATAAGGAGAGTACAGATCCTGGAGAAGGTAGACCCTAACTCCTCTTGTGCTCCTTAGGATGGAGTCCACAGAGAAGTGTGAAGCCATCATCACCCACTTTAATGGAAAATATATTAAGACACCCCCTGGAGTACCAGGTGAGGCATCTGGGAATCAGGCTGAGAGGGCCACAGATTATGACTTCCTGTGAAGATTCTGGAGGATTTTTGCATGAATGAGTGGACTAAGTGGGGTGGGACTCAGCTGCCTGTCTGCTTTCTCTCTTGGCAGCCCCATCTGATCCCTTGCTTTGCAAATTTGCTGATGGGGGTCCAAAGAAACGACAGAACCAAGGAAAATTTGTGCAAAATGGACGGGCCTGGCCAAGGAATGGAGACATGGTAAGAGGCCCTCTAGGAGACAGGAATACTAAGGACATTAAAATGTAATGGATGGGGCTTCCCTGGCAGTCCAGTGGTTGGGACTCCGTGCTTCCACTGCAGGGGGCATGGGTTCTATCCCCGGTTGGGGAACTAAGATCCTGCATGTTGAGCAAAGCGGCCAAAAAAACAAACAAAAAAAAGAAAAGTGGAATGGAAATTTCCATGGCCTGATTTCTGTGGTAAACTTGAGAGCTACAGTATGTAACAGAGATGCTGGCTGCTTAACATGCTCTTCAGTGTGGATCTTGAATGGAATTTTGCATCCTGCACAACCAGAAAAACCCTGGAACAGTTGTAGTGGGATTAGTTCAGACTTCATTTTTAATCAGTTGAACCAAATACGTCCTCAGCCTTGAAATTCTGGGCTTGTTCCTGTTCTCACTAAGGGCTCACAATGTGCATGCTGTGTTCTTTCTTTATAGGGTGGTATGGCCTTGACCTATGACCCCACCACAGCTCTTCAGAATGGGTAAGGGTGTTTTCTATAAACAGGCCACCTGAAAATGACAGCGGCCTGTATCCAGGCACTCGGATGTTTCATCTTGATATTTAAAGAGTAGTCAGTGGTGGGACTTCCCTGGTGGCACAGTGGTTAAGAATCCGCCTGCCAATGCAGGGGACACAGGTTCGATCCCTGGCCCGGGAAGATCCCATATGCTGTGGAGCAACTAAGCCCATGCGCCACAACTACTGAGCCTGCCCTCTACAGCCCGCGAGCCACAACTGCTGAGTCTGCGTGCCACAACTACTGAAGCCCACACGACCAGACCCATGCTCCACAACAAAGAGAAGCCACCGCAATGAGAAGCCCACACACCGCAACGAAGAGTAGCCCCTGCTCACAGCAACTAGAGCCTGCACGCAGCAACGAAGACCCAACGCAGCCAAAAATTAAATAAATTTATTTTAAAGAGTAGTTAGTGGGAAGTGGCTGTGTCTATCAGTGGGGGCCCTTGCATTGTAGTTTCCTGTGACTCCTTATTGATGAGGTCCCTTCCTACAGGTTTTACCCAGCTCCTTATAACATCACCCCCAACAGGATGCTTGCTCAGTCTGCACTGTCCCCATATCTTCCATCTCCTGTGTCTTCATATCAGGTATGTTGTCTTCATATCAGGTACGTTCATGCCCAGAAAAGGGTGTGGTGGTTATCCCTACCATTGTGTTTTAGGCTGGGAACTACTTGTTGTTCTTTTGTTTTTTCCTTTATACATACTATACACAAATAGTTTTACATAAAAGCATAACATGTGGTCACACTACATGTATATAGACTGTTGTAGAAGCATCCTTTTACTCTCCACCACTCCCACAAGCAAACCCATGTTAATTTCCTACTAGTTGCCATATTTTTTGTTATCTGCATATACACATAAGTATAGGGTTTTCGAAGTCATTGTTTATGTTACAAAAATTTTCCATATTAAATATATATTTTTACACTTTACTCTTCTCATTTAAACCAGTGATTCTCAAAGTGTGGTCCCTAGACCAGCAATATCAGCACTACCTGGGGATTTTTAGAAACACAAGTTCTTGGACTCCACCCAGATTCACAGGAACTCTGGGGATGGGTCCTACCAATCTGAGTTTTAACAAGCCCTCCAGGTAGTTCTTATGCAGCTCTGTTCTCATTATTTCCTTTTTAATAGTAACATATTTTACACTGCACATATACCAGAATTCTTCCACTATACCCCAGTGAAAGGCATTCTTTGGATTTCAGTTTTCATCTGGTGCAAATAATGCTCTAGTAAACATCCTTTTGCCTGTATCCTCACATATGAGTGCTTTTGTTTCTGGGGGCTAGAGTCCGAGGGGTGAGGTTGTTAGGTTGAATAATACACGGACTTTCAGTTTTATAGATGTTACCAGATTGCTTTCCACAGAGACTGTGCCAATTCACATTCCACTGGCAACATATGAGAGTACCCATTTCCCTCCAGCCAGAAGTGACATTGCTCTTTTAAAATTTTTTTCTATCTTGATAGCTGTAAAGTACATTGTTACTTTAATTTGCACTTCCCTGACTGCAGCTGAGTTTAAGCATGTTTTTGGTCATATTTTTATTTGCTCTTCATATACTTGGTCCTTTTTCCTGTTTGACTATTTGTTCTTTTCCCATCAACTTATAAAAACTATCAGTATTATTGGGACTTCCCTGGTGGTCCAGTGGTTAGGATTCTGCGCTCCCAAAGCAGGGGGCATGGGTTTGATCCCTGGTCGGGAAACTAAGACCCCAAAAGCCACACGGGGCAGC